TTTTACATAGCTTTCTCATGTCATTTTCATAGCTATTCTAAGTGGTAGGTGTCATTATTATCTTGATCTTTTGGAGATGAAACTGGATTCATAGAGTTACCTAACTTGTCCAAAGCCACACAGTAAGTTAACTATTAAAAATGTCATATGAAAAGTTACCACTGATTAAATTATGGTTTTGTCTAGTTTTCCTGGGTTTCCTTTACTTTCCAACTCTGGGATTTAAGTCAAAGCTGTCATCTTCTGAATGACATTGGCTTTAGTCCTCACTCTCCTATCTACACAATCTGATATTCAATCAGAATATCAAACATCTCTTCTGAACATTACTTCAGGGAAAGAGAGATGGGGTTCTTCCAAACAATTTTCAGGAATTGAAAAAAAAATTCAAAGGCAATAAATTAAAGTTGGTTTTTTTTAACACACACACGCACACACATATGTAAAACAAGGCATAAAAGGAAGCTGGCTTCACTCCCTCCCACAGGAAACAAAAACCAAATATACAGTGCTGATATTATCACCAAAGATATCCAGAATTCAAATAGGAAGATGAGATAGTTCTCAATGCCACAGAGAAATGAAAATGTTCTGAGCAGATGGTACAAGAATCAGACTTCCACATCCATGATGCGCCCCCCCACACACATACTGCCCAACATAAAGCATATGGAAAAATTTCCCCCAACTCACTGTTTCTACTCTGGAAAAGGTGAGATCAAGGGGACAACAAGCTTCCCCACCATTTTGGGTTCCCTGGCATAAGATCTCTCCTGCCTTAACTCATGGGAATCATCACAGATGCCTGAAGGGATAAGAATCCCTGAGGACAGGCAGAGACAAAGTGGGAAGGGATTAACAACCCCAGAGCTGGAAACTCTGTTTTGTAACTCAGCCAAAGGAGATGTTTAATCAGAGTGGCTGTTCAGTGGCACCATTCTGTAGGAGAATTGTCTCACAGGTCCCCTGGGCAAAAATCCCTAGGCTAGCCTTCTCACAGTGCCAGGAAATCCCCTTTGGGATCTCTATTGTTTTAGAAGGGCAGTGTTCTGACAGTGAACTTGAGCTCAAGGTGCCAAATGAAGCCAAAAAGGAGGTAGTGACCTAGAAATAAAGAACCTCTAAGCAAATATATTCAATTAAACCCCAAACAAGCTAGCTGGGCATGGTTTTTCATGCCCATAATCCCAGCATTTTGGGAAGCTGAGGCAGAAGGATTGCTTGAGGCCAAAAAACTGAAACCAAAAATAAGCCAGACAGAGAAGACTGGGATAAATAATCCTTCAATGCAAATATGTAGATGTATATCTGCAAGAAAACAACTGCAAAC